TGTAAGAAACAAATTGGAATAAATATATAGATTATTGTAAAAGGGAATACTCAATTGAAATTAAGACATAAAATTGAAATGTTAGCCAATGATGTAAGTAAAGATGAAATGAAATGTATGTAAGGAGTTAAAAAAAGAAATATATTTTATAATGTAAAACAGATCAGTAGATGCAATGTGAAAGATAGAAAGGTTTATATTTTGTTGTCTGGGGATTTATGGATTGGAGAGAAACACCTGCTAAGGGTAAAGAATTGTGTGCCAAAGATTGAAAAAAAACAAACAAAGGAATTAATTTAAATTAAGAAATAAAATTGAAATGTTAATAAATGATGTAAGTAAATGATGTAAGTAAAGGTGAAATGAAATATAAGTAAGGATTTTTTTTAAAAAAGGAGTATATTGTTTAATGTAAAATAGACCAGCTGATACAGAATGGCTTATAAGTAAAAATAACTGAAAGTAATTGAAATAATAGGAAAAGAGAAAAATAATTATTGAAATGGGAATAAGAAATTAGGAATTAAAGAAAATAAGAGATGGAAGGTTAATTAAGTTGAAAGGTTTTAAGGTAAAAATGGAATAAGTTGAAATACATTGTTAAGAATTAAAAACATGATGGGAATCTTGAGGAATATATTCAATAAATGGAGAGAAAATCGGGGATGCCTGGACACTATAGGAAAAAAAACACTGAATTGAAAATGAATACAGCAATATTTATTTATTTATTTATTTATTTATTTATTAGATTTCTATACCGCCCTACTCCCGAAGGACTCAGGGCGGTGCACAGCCAAACAATAAAAACACATACAATACAAAATTTAAAAAATAGAATAAAATCAAATTAAATAATTTTGGCCCCGACAAATTTAAAACCCCAAACTTTTAAAACCAATTTAAAATTGAATATATAAATACTAAAAAATATTTAAAATTTTAAAAATCTTTTATAAAAGAGGGGGAAAATTAGGCCAGGCCGGCCTGGTGAAATAGTAAGGTCTTTAAGGCGCGGCGGAAGGTGCGCAGATCCGGGATCCTCCGTATCTCTGGGGGGAGCTCGTTCCAGATAGTAGGTGCCCCCACAGAGAAGGCTCTCCCCCTGGGGGCCGCCAGTCGGCATTGTTTGGCTGACGGCACCCGGAGGAGCCCCTCTCTATGGGAGCGTACCGGCCGGTGGGAGGCTATTGGTGGTAGTAGGCGGTCCCGCAAGTACCCGGGTCCTAAGCCATGGAGCGCTTTAAAGGTGGTAACCAAAACCTTGAAGCGCACCCGGAAGACCACCGGGAGCCAGTGCAGCTCGCGCAGGAGAGGTGTTACATGGGAACACCATGTCGCTCCCATTACCACCCGCGCGGCCGCACTCTGCGCCAGTTGGAGCCTCCGGGTGCTCCTCAAGGGGAGCCCCATGTAGAGAGCGTTGCAATAGTCCAGGCGGGAGGTGACAAGGGCATGAGTGACCGTGCGTAAAGAGTCCCGATCCAGAAAGGGACGCAACTGGCGAATCAGGCGAACCTGATGAAAAATCCTCCCGGTCACGGCCGTCAAGTGCTCTTCTAAAGACAGCCGTGAGTCCAGGAGGACGCCCAAGTTGCGAGCCCTCTCCGTGGGGGCCAATGATTCGCCCCCAATAGTCAGTGATGGCGTCAACTGACTATATCGGGACGTCGGAAACCACAGCCACTCAGTCTTGGATGGGTTGAGCCTGAGCCTGTTCCTCCCCATCCAGATCCGTACGGCCTCCAGGCACCGGGACATCACTTCAAGGGCATCGTTGGGGTGATCCGGGGTGGAGATGTACAGCTGGGTGTCGTCAGCGTACTGATGGTACTCCACCCCGAAACCACGGATGATCTCGCCCAGCGGCTTCACATAAATGTTGAACAGGAGAGGCGAGAGGACCGACCCTTGCGGCACCCCACATATGAGGGGCCTCGGGGTCGACCTCTGTCCCCCTGTCAACACAGACTGCGACCGGTCAGAGAGAAAGGAGGAGAACCACCGCAACACAGTGCCTCCCACCCCCAACTCTTCCAACCGGTGCAGCATGATACCATGGTCGATGGTATCAAAAGCCGCTGAGAGATCTAACAGGACCAGGACAGAGGAGCACCCCCTGTCCCGAGCCCTCCAGAGATCATCAACCAACGCGACCAATGCCGTTTCCGTGCTGTACCCGGGCCTGAAGCCCGACTGGAACGGATCCAGATACGTCGTTTCATCCAGGTGCTGGGGGAGCTGTTGCGCGACCACACTCTCAACAACCTTCGCAACAAAGCGAAGATTGGAGACCGGACGATAATTTACCAACATTGCCGGGTCCAGGGAAGGCTTCTTGAGGAGAGGCCTCACCACCGCCTCTTTCAAGGCGGCGGGAAAGTCACCCTCACTCAGCGAAGCGTTTATAATCCCCTGGAGCCAGCCTCGTGTCACTTCCCGGGAAGCCAGTACTAACCAGGAAGGACACGGGTCCAATAAACAAGTGGTCGCGTTCAGTCTACCCAGAATCCTGTCCACGTCCTCAGGGGTCACAGGATCAAACTCATCCCAGATAACATTCTCAAGACCTGCCCCTGTCTCTCCCCCTGAGACTACCCAGTCGGAGTCCAAATCTTCCCGAATCTGAGTGATTTTGTCATACAGATACTGAACAAAATCCTCGGCTCTACCCTCCAAGGGGTCCTCCCGCGCTTCCTGGTGGAGCAGGGAGCGGGTCACCCTAAAGAGGGCGGCCGGGCGATTATCTGATGACGCAATAAGAGCAGCAAAATAACTACATTTCGCTGCTTTTATCGCCACTAAGTAATTCCTAATGTGGGATCTTACTAGTGTCCGGTCAGATTCAAGAAGACTGGCCCTCCAACTACTCTCTAGGCGTCTTTTCCGGCGCTTCAACTCCCTCAGCTCCTCGGTAAACCAAGGAGCCAATTGAGATCGGCGCCGGGTCAGAGGCCGCAAAGGCACGACCCGATCCAGAGCACCAGCAGCCGCCCTATCCCAGGCGGCCACCAGGTCTCCAGTCGAGGCGTGTGCCAGAACCTCAGGAAATGGCCCAAGCTCCATCTGGAATCTGTCAGGTTCCATCAGGCGCCTGGGGCGGAACCATCTGACCGGCTCCGCCTCCCTGCGGCGGGGTGCAGCGGTTTGAAAGTCGAGACGAAGGAGAGAGTGATCTGACCATGACAAGGGTTCAGTAACTATATCCCCTATATCAAGATCCCTCAACCACTGTCCAGAGACAAAAACCAGATCCAGCGTGTTTCCCCCTGTGTGGGTAGGGCCATGAATTAACTGGGTCAGGTCCATAGCTGTCATGGAAGCCATGAACTCCCGAGCCATCTCTGACGTCTCACCCACGGACGGCAGGTTGAAATCCCCCATAACCATAAGCTTAGGGGTATCAACCGCCACCGCGGCGATGACGTTGAGTAGCTCGGGCAGGGCTGTTGCCACGTGGCAGGGAGCCAGGTACGTGATCAGCAAACCCATCTGAACCCCATGACCCCATTTCACAAAAAGGGATTCACAGCCGGCCGTCTGAGGAACAGTGGCCTCCCTCGGTCTCAGACCTTCTTTAATGATAACCGCTACCCCCCCGCCCCTCCCCTGTGACCTCGGCTGATGGAATGCTTGGAAACCTGGCGGGCACATTTCAACGAGGGGAACCCCCCCATCCTGGCCCAACCAGGTCTCCGTAATACCTGCCAGGTCCGCACCCCCCTCCTGAACAAGATCACAGATGAGGGGGGCTTTATTTACTACGGACCTGGCATTGCACAGCATCAGCCGAAGGCCTGGGTCCTGAGGGTCTATGCAACCTGAGGAGCGAGTAGAGCCTTGGGGGCCGGAGCACGCCACCGCTCGTAGACAGCGAGTGCGCACTCCCCTAACACGATATGGCCCCCTGCTCCCGCCATATCTACCCCTCCCACCTACAGTACTGATGTTCAAATAACTATCCGGACAAGCTCTAACCCCCCCCCTCGATCCCGGGCCCTCCATCCCCCACACCACGCTTCACTGCCAAACCCGACCCTCCCCCTTGTGGGTTATCCCCCATACCCACAGCCCGAATTCCAATCTGACCCTCCCCCTCCCTAGGACCCCTTAAAAATTTGACTAAAAATTTTGTTAAAAAACCCCTCAATCCCCTCGTTTTCACATGCCACCTCTCTGGGTCCCAAAACCCTTCCTTGAGGTGGGCCCTCGATAGTGAGGAGGGCCACATCTGCGAGAAGGGGGAATCTCGCAGCGCAAGAAGATCTGCAGTCGTATACATCTCCGAAATGCAGCGATGGAGGCCCAAAGCTCAGACAGGGGACTTCACAAAAGATGTAACACAGCCAATTGTTCATCGATGTGCTGTTGGTGTCTCAACTGTCCTCCCACAACAGCAGGAGGGTCCTAAATTATCTCCTCCAATGGGGGCGACCTCCGGCCCGCCCTCTCACAGCGGAACCCCACGGGGCCGTAGATTGAAAAAGTTCTCCCACAGACAAGAGCCATGATGTAATAGAGGACCCCTCAACAGTTGCATCAATTTGGCTGACCATGGTCGGAAGAAAGATTTATCAGTCTATCAGTCAGTCTATGAGTCACGCCAGGGGTGAAGATGGAAAATCCTTGGCAAAGTCTTATACTCAAGATCATATTCGAGTAAGTCCCGATGAAAAAAAGGGAAGAAGGGAAGGGGAAGAAGGAAGAGGGGAAGAAAAGGGGGGGGAGAAAGAAGATTCCCTCAATTAGGGCGAATAATAAGCCCATTTAGGCAGACACAGTACCTGGGAGGGGGAGGAGAAAAGGGCTGGTATCTATGTGACGGAAAACTCCTCCGTCGCCCCCCAGCCCTACATTCCTCAGATAGTTCAGTTCTTCCGGGATAACAAATCCAAACCCCAGCCTCCATTGGATGTCACAGGGGGCCTCCAGGTCCTCTACAGCTGCCAAGATATCCCGGGAGGGGGTCTTTCTTCTCCAGTCCGTTATGTTCCTCTCAGTTTTCACCCTCTAGCAAGGCCCCTTCTCCGGCAATAGGGCCTGAGAACAGCTCCAGTACTTCCATGGGGTGTGCCATGGCCCAGTTTAATGTTGGGGCCGGCCTCACCACCCCCGCTGATATCCACGCCACCATTCCCGGTTTCCAGGGGCCGCTGAGGAAGTTCCTGAGTGGGGCAGATGAAATTTCAACAGGCTGCCACCACTCGCTGCCCCAATAGAGAGAGATGGAAGAAGGAGTAGGGAGAGTGAAGGAAGGGAGAAGGAGAGAGAGGAATAGAAGAAAGGGAAGAGGAGAGGAAGAAAGGAAGGGGAAGTAGAGAAGAAGTAGGAGAGAAGGGAAGAAGGGAGGAAGGATAAAAGAAGGGAGGGAGAGGAAGAGAAAGAGAAGAAAGATTGCTGTAAAACAAAACAGATGAAATTTATTTATTTATTGTTTATTTATTTATTTATTGGTTCGATTTATATGCCGCCCTTCTCCAGAGACTCAGGGCAGCTTACAATGCGTTAAGCAATAGCCTTCATATTTTTGTATATACAAGCTTAGTAGGGCTTTCGCCCCCCAGTGGTGTTCTTTTTTATACAAAGTCAGCTTATTGCCCCAACAAACCGGGTCCTCATTTTACCTACCTCGAAAGGATGGAAGGCTGAGTCAACTTTGAGCCTAGTGAGATTTGAACTTGCAGTAATTGCAGGCAGCTGGTGTTACTTAACAGCATTTTTAGTCTGCTGCGCCACCAAGGCTGGAAAGAAATGGAAGAAAGGCATCCCTGAAAATGTTTAAATAAATTAGGATAAAGAATGAATTATTAAAAATTAAAAGATATATATATATGATTAAAAATGGAAAAAATAGAATTTGAGGGCCAAAGAAGATACTGTTTATAGAAACAAGAATAGAAATATTAAGATTTGATTTAAAAATATGGAAAAAGAACACTTTGGCAGAAATTGTCATAATTCGTCTTTCGAGGAGCCCAACCAAAGTTTCCCGCACCACTTCAGGGAGTGCTCCTTGAGAGACGAGAGCTTGCAGGGGGCCAATCTGGCATCTGCAATGGAGAGCAAAATTCGGCTGCTCCCTGGACCAGTCACCATTTACCGCTCTGAGTCCCAAGCGTCAGGAGATGAGGGCTGCCTTGCACCGCAAATATACCAAGGCGGAATCCTGATGCCACACTTAAAGCGGAGAGAAGAAGCCAGATTTTGCTTTTCATTGCAGACACGAGATCGGCCCCCTGCAAGCTCTCATCTCTCAAGGAGCCCGACCAAAGTTTCCAGCACCGCTTCAGGGAGCGCTCCTCGAGAGACGAGAGCTTGCAGGGGGTCGATCTGGCATCTGCAATGGAGAGCAAAATCCGGCTGCTCCCCAGACTAGACGCCATTTACCGCTCAGAGTCCCAAGTGGCAGGAGACGAGGGCTGCCTTGTGCCACTGGCTGGCGCAAATATACCGAGGTGGAATGCTGTTGCCGTGCAAATGAAAGTAGTGCTTCGCTCCCTCAGCTTCCAGCCATTGCAAATGCCGCTTCTTCCCAGTTGTGCTGCCCTCTCCCCCACCACCACAACAGCACCATTCATTCCGGACGGCGAGGGCTCCTTTTTGCACCACCTACAAAAATGCAAAAATTTCTCCACGGACCACCAAAATTTTCTCGCAGACCACCAGTGGTCCGCGGACCATCGGTTGGTAACCACTGGTTTAGAAGGAACAGGCCCTGCTCTTACCAGTAGGCAGGGTTCAAGGGTGCTGATGGCTTCCTTTGCATTAGAAGTCAGGCAGCACTAGAGTTATGAGACATCAACCTGGAGGAGCACCAAACTCCATAGCTCTGAGTGACCCTCCCCAGCAGTCTCTGGAGACAAGGTGCCATATTGAAGGACAGCAGAAGTCCTTCGTTGTTGAACTATCTTCATCCAGCATCACTTTCCAGACATGTCCTGACAAGACTGCAGAGCAGGGGCCCAGGTGTATTTCTGTGGGTATTTTTTCCCCACTAACATGTTTTTTTTCCAGATAACCCTCCTCACATGGACCCGTGTCCTCAGTGGAAAAGTTGCTTTTCCCTGGTCTAGTCATTTCTCTGTCCGTTGAGATCCCTTCTGCTCCTTCTTCAGTGACTTCCTTCCATGTAAACATCAGACTGAAGCAACATGGAAGGGATTTTGTATGAGAAAAACATAAATATCTTAGGTCACATTCTGTGTGGCATAATTTTCAGACAGGCAGGGACTGTGCTCTTGAATGTACTTTTCTTTCTTTTCCAGGTGAAGCTCGGATTTTCTAGGTCTGAATTGGAAAAACCACTAGATATTCCATCTTGTGACAGTGCTTTGAATTCTTCTAACTTGACTTGTTCTTTTTGTTAAGAATTGGCAAGGGAATTGAATCAGCTCCAAGAATTATGGACCTCCTGCTTCTGCTTCTGATGCTGCTGATGTCCCATCCAGTCTCTGGGAAGCTTAGAACGAAATGTCCGATGAGCTTGGAGCACCAGGATGGAAACAATCCATGGAGCTATTACAGGCCAGGAGACCATCTCATTACTATGATCAACACTGCAACAGAAATGCTGCGTATAATATTCCCTTTCAGCAGTCTTCCTTCTAGTCCATCTCATTCGTAAGTCATTCAGGATAATGGAGTTGCATTCCCTCCATTTGCAGTTCTAACACTCTCCTTTATTTTTTTATTATTTCACTTGCTTCTATATTATAGGATCTTTCTTATTTCCTGAATGATGTTGAGTTCCATTGTTGGTCTCTTTTGCCTTCATTTGTGGAAGACTCAAATCCAAAGATGAGACTGAAAAAAAAACCCTGAAAGTAGCTGACATTATTTTCCTCACCCTGTACAATCCTGGGTTCATCACTTTACTACCAAACTAGCTGATCTTTGGTTTTGGATCAATGTTGGCTTAAGGCTGGGTAGGCTTGTGGAGACAAAGAGGACTGATTTTTTTTTAAAAAAAGGATTTGTTGTTGCTGTTGATGATAATAACATGAACGTTTTCTTTCTTTCTTTCTTTTTTACAGTAGCCTTTCTTTTGGTTTTTCACAAAGATTACGCCTCATTTTTGCCATTCAACTTATCAACAAGAATTCCCAGCTCTTGCACAATCTCACACTGGGCTACAACATCCATGACAACTCTATGAGCACTTTACGCACTTCAGATGCCTTGCTGGACATTCTCTCTACTGGAGAAGCCAATGTTCCCAACTACAGCTGTGGAAGGAAGGGCAACCTTCTGGTTCTTATTGATGGAGCTAGCAGGGACATCTCCATCCAGATGTCAACATTACTAGGTACCTACAAAATCCCCCAGGTTTGTGTCTGTTTTTATTTATTATTAATTATTTATTAATTAAATTTCTATACCGCCCTTCTCCAAAAAGGACTCAGGGCGGTGCACAGCCTAAATAAAAACAGAGCATACAAAATTTAAAAACAGTATTAAAATAATTAAATATTTTGGCCATAAATTAAAACAACCCAATTTAAAATCAATTTAAAATTAAACTCAAGCCAGCCCAGCTAGTTGAAATAAATAGGTTTTCAGGGCCCGACGAAAAATCTGGAGGTCTGTTATTGTACGTAACTCTGGGGGAAGGTTGTTCCAGAGGGTGGGCGCCGTCACAGAGAAGGCTCTCCCCCAGGGGGTCGCCAGCCGACATTGTCTGGCGGACGGCACCCTGAGGAGGCCCACTCTGTGCAAGCGTACTGGCCGGTGGGAGGCTATTGGTGGCAGAAGGCGGTCTCGTAAGTACCCCGGCCGTAAGCCATGGAGCGCTTTAAAGGTGGTCACCAACACCTTGAAGCGCACCCAGAAGACCACCGGGAGCCAGTGCAGCTTGCGCAGGAGAGGTGTCACATGGGAGCGCCTCGTCGCCCCCATAATCCCCTGCACGGCCGCGTTCTGGACCAGCTGGAGCCTCCGAGTGCACCCCAGGGGGAGCCCCATGTAGAGAGCATTGCAGTAGTCCAGGCGGGAAGTGACTAGTGCCTGAGTGACTGTGCGTAGAGAGTCCCGATCTAGAAAGAAACTGTCGTATCAGGCGAACCTGATAAAAAGCCCCCCTGGCCACGGCCGTCAAATGGTCTTCTAAAGACAGCCATGCGTCCAGGAGGACGCCCAAGTTACGAGCCCTCTCCGTGGGGGCGAGTGATTCGCCCCCAATAGCCAGCAATGGCGTCAGCTGGCTATATCGGGACGCTGGAAGCCACAGCCACTCGGTCTTGGAGGGGTTGAGTCGGAGCCTGTTTCTCCCCATCCAGGCCCGCACGGCCTCCAGGCACTGGGACATCACTTCAAGGGCATCGTTGGGGTGGCCTGGGGTGGAGATGTACAGCTGGGTGTCATCAGCGTACTGATGGAACTCCACCCCGAAGCCACGGATGATCTCACCCAGCGGCTTTACATAAATGTTGAACAGAAGGGGCAAGAGGACCGACCCTTGTGGCACCCCACAAGCAAGGTGCCTCGGGGTCGACCGCTGCCCCCCCGTCAACACAGATTGCGACCGGTCAGAGAGGTAGGAGGAGAACCACCACAGAACGGTGCCCCCTACCCCCAACCCCGCCAACCGGTGCAACTTGATACCATGGTCAATGGTATCAAAAGCCGCTGAGAGGTCTAATAGGACCAGGATAGAGGAGCAACCCCTATCCCGAGCCCTCCAGAGATCATCCACCAACGCGACCAATGCCGTTTCCATGCTGTGCCCAGGCCGGAAGCCGGACTGGAGCGGGTCTAGATAGACAGCTTCATCCAGGTACCGGGGAAGCTCTTGCGCTACCACACTCTCAACAACCTTTGCAACGAAGCGAAGGTTGGAGACTGGACGATAGTTAGCCAAAACAGCCGGATCCAGAGAGGGCTTCTTGAGGAGGGGCCTCACAACTGCTTCTTTCAAAGCAGCCGGCAGGATCCCCTCACTCAAAGAAGTGTTAACAATCTTCTGGAGCCAGCCTCGTGTCACCTCCCGGGAAGCCAGTACCAACCAGGAGGGACACGGGTCCAATAAACATGTGGTCACGTTCAGCCGTCCCAGGACCCTGTCCATGTCCTCGGGAGCCACAGGATCAAACTCCCCCCAGATAACACTCTCAAGACCTGCCTCAGTCATCCCGTCCGGACATACCCAGTCAGAGGCCAGCCATTCCCGAATCTGAGCGATTTTGTCATACAGATACTGCACAAACTCCTCAGCTCGGCCCTG